CTTCAGTCTGTGGCTCTCAGGAGCTGCAGGGTCCCCTGCTGTCCGTGGAGACAGGGAGCTCCTGGGCACCCCCACCACTTCTGCTGGCCCCCAGAGCTCCAAGCTGCCGCAGGCAGTGGTGGTACCCCACAGGTCCCAAATGCCGTAGGCGGTGGGGGAACCCATGAGCTCCCAACCGCAGTGGGTGGTGGGGGCCCCTGGAGCTGTGAGTGATGGGGAACTCTGCAGCTCCCAATTGCCACAGGTGGCAGGGGAACTCCCAAGCTCCTGGCTGCTGCAGGCCCCTGGAGCTGCGGCAGCAGGGGTACCCTGCAGCCCCCAGCTGCTGCAGGTGGTGGGGGCCCCGCAACTCCCAGCCGTGGGTAGCGGAGGACCCTGGAGCTCCGACAACCCACGGTGGGGGCCTCTGCAGCCCCTAGCTGCCGCGTAGCTGCCCCGTGGCAAGCGGTGTGGGGACCTGCAGATTCCCATTTTGTCACGGATATTTTTAGTCAGGGCCGGCTCCCAAGCAAGCAGGTGCTTGGGGCGGCCAACGGAGAGGGGGCGGGTCCCTCAGTCCCTCTCGGAGGGAAGGACCTGCTGCCAAATTGCTGCCGAAGAATGAAGCGGCGTGGTGGAGCTGCCGCCAAAGTGCCGTTGACCGCGATTGCGGCTTTTTTTCCCCCCCCACCGCTTGGGGCGGCAAAAACCCTGTAGCCGGCCCTGTTTTTAGTAAAAGTCAGGGACAGTTCACAGCTTCCGTGAATTTTTCTTTATTGCCCGTGACCTGTCCCTGACTTTTACTAAAAATATCCATGACAAAATCTTAGCCTTAACTATATGAGATAAAAAGATATTTTCATATTTAGTGTCTATGATTTCTTTAAAACATAGAACTTTGCCCCAACAGACAGGGTTTTTTAGAAACATCTGCATAGTGATGTCCTAACAGAGTGTAGTAAATGCGTTTGAGATCCAGATTGACATATCTAATCAGATTATCCCTACTAACAAAAAGAACAGCTGAAGGCACAAAATGTCTTTATGGTAACTGCTGACTTCAAAAACAAACAAACTAACAAACAACAAACTGTATTGCAGTTGGCTTAAGGCCATTGAAGAGTTTGTTCTTACTTAAGGGCCCCAGCCTAACATCAGCATGAGGCACAGGCCTCTTCCAGAGCAATACTGGTGAGATGTTACTGCAAAGTCTTACCAGAAATGTTTCAGCAAGTGAAAAGAGTTCTCCTGCATGACCCATCAGATTGCTGTTCTAGTAGGAGATGAACCCATAGGGCCTGATGATTTGCCAAATTACTGAACCTTGTCAACACCACTTGAAGTCAATGGGAGCCAGGAGTGGTCAATACCTCTGAAAAATAGCTCCACAGCACCTAATTCATCCCTGTTCTTCTTCTGCTGAAGTGACTTTACACCAGGGATGACTTTGGGCCACAGGGCCAAGTTCTAGCCTCATTTACACCCATACAATCTCACTGAGGTTGGACAGTGTCACCGAGGTTAGAATTTAGCCCATAAAAATAAAATGGCTCTGGGCTATTTGAGTTATATAATAAAACCTGAGATAAAGATAAAGATATCTTAAAACACAACTCTTAAGCATCAATCACATCTGAGTGGTTCACAATCATCACTGCTATGTTAACAGGCCAGCAATATGGCTAAGTGCACCATACTGCATTCCGCAGCTACCAATCTATATGATCATTCAGAAGAATGTGCCAGACCTTCTACATGAAATTCCAATTCCCCATGGCACTAAGTCACCTTTTTGATTTCCAGATTACCACTCAAGGCTGACACAATATGAGGTACATACATCCCACTGCAGGCACGTGGCTGTTCGTGTATAAGGAATCTGTGTATGATGTACAGATTGTAATGGAATGAAATAATACAATCGGAAAGGCAACCAACTCATATTTATAAATATTTCAGATTTACTATATGAATAATATCCAGGACTTTTACTGCACTTTATTTATTCAAAGCTCTTTGCAGACATTAACTAATGAATTTCCCTTCCCCCCCATACCTCTAGGAGGTAGGTAGATAAATATTATTATCCCCAATGTACAGATAGGGAAACTAAGGTAGGTAAGTCCAGGATAAGAACTCAGCATTACCTGACTCTTAGGCCTGCACTCACTCCTCCAGGCCACACTGAATGGCACTATAGCTGTCTTACTGTATGAAACTACAGTAACCTAGCAATCGCCATACTGGATCACAACAGTGGTGCACTCAGTCCAGTATTCTGTCATTGGCTGTAGCCAATACCACATGCTTCAGAGGAAGGTGGAAGAGGGCCATTCAGTATGAACATGTCCTAAGGACAGGTTTCTTTTGAATCTCAGGCAACTATGCCCAGATCTTCAAAGGTATTTAATGGCATTAGGTGCCTAAGCACATTGGAGGATCTGGGCTTGATGCTTGGCTTATGCTGTAAGCATGAGGGTTTATACTTCTTGCACATTATTTATACCTCTTGTTTTTATTATTCATGGATGTGTCTAATCCTTTTTTGGATCATGCCACATTCTTGATCTCAGTCACACCTAGTGGCAACAAGTTCCACGAGTTTATTATGTATTGCATAAAAAACTACTCCCTTTAATCAGTTTTAAATTTATTGCTTTTCAATTTTATTGGACATCTCTTTGTTCTTGTATTCTGAGAAGGGATACACAGTAATATCGAATTTACCTTCTCTATCCCATTCATTGTGTTGTAAACCCCTTTCACGTCTCCTTTTACACCTCTCATCTCTACACTCAACAATTTCAATCTTTTCCAAAGTGTCTTTATGCCTTTAAATCATTTTTGTCACCCATCTCAGAGCCCCCTCATTTTTTGATATCTCCTTTTTTATATAAGATAACCAAAACTGAGTGCATCATTACAGCAGATGGTGTCCCATTGATTTATTATAACAGCATTATAATATTTTCAGTGGCATTCACTCCCACATTCATTACATACCCTAACATCCATCTTTGCTGTTTTTGGCCACCATTGCACAATTATACTTGTTTAACAATATATTGAATCAGCAGTAAAGAACCTTGTCTAGTGGTTAAAGCAGAGGATTCAGAAGCAAGATTTCTGGGTGCTATCCTGGCTCTGTCACTGGGCAAGTGACTTAGCCCAGCTTCGCAAAGGCATTTAGGCACCTAACTTCCATTGAAATCAATGGAAGTTATTGGAGCCTAAATGCCTCTGAGGATTTGGACCTTAGCCTCTCTGTGCTTTAGCTTCCCCATCTGTAAAATAGAGATAATGATATTTATCCAAGAATTAATTCATTAATGCTTGTGAAATTCTTTGCTATGCTCAGATAGGTGCTCCTATAAGAATGCAAAGGGTGAACAGTGTTGACTAGTCAATAGAGTCTAGCACTAGGATTGAAAAGCCCTGGGTTCTAGTCCAATCTCTACTCCTGGCCTGCTGGGTGACAGTGGGCAAGTCATTTCCTGTTTCTGTGCTTCAGTTTCCCCATCTGTAAAATGGGAATAAAGACCATCTCCATAAAGCACTTTGAGATCTACTGAAAAGTGTTATACAAATGATAGGTATTATTATTGTATTAAGTATGTCATAAGATTTGCTCAGCAGCTTGGATCACTAAACAATCTAGTCCTGTGGCCAACCACAGGAAGTCAACGCCATGCACCTAATCAGTTGTCTACAACTGTGTGTCCCAGAATCCCTGGCACAGTGGCCAGACTTCCCTAATCGCTGTGCTCTAGGACAGTCATCTCTGTCTACTATGCTCGGGATTAGGGAGCCTCTCTGTCCATGGGCTCAAGCTGGTAGAAGTGTTTTCTCTGCTCTTGCTGCAATATTACCACCCCACCCAGAAAGACCCTTCTGGATTGTGAGGACAGCAGGCCTACACCAGACATCTCCCAATCCCAGATACTTGCTCTGTGGGCAGCACTGGTGCCACCCCACCCCTAAAGACTTATAATGACCCTGATTAAAGAACATCTAAAGTAAAATGAGAGCCCCATGACTCCTTGAGGGGTGAGAGGGCTAGGATGCATCCCTGAAAGTCACAGTTCTTAGGACTCAACCCTCAAAGTGAACCTGAAGGACACAGTTTGCTGCCAGCCCTTCACAAACCAAACTTTAGGGTTTAGCTGGTGAGACCCCCAGTACAGCAAACCCTACAGCACAGTTAGGAGTGGGAGGTCACCAAGGGCAAGAGAGCAGGAAGCAGCATGCTCAGGGTATGGGTTGCTCCTCATGTCTCACTGCAGAGACCTCCTCAACGCTCAGTGGCTGATCCAAGCCAGGAGCGGTGCCCTTTCCTTCCTGAGGACTTGTTGGGAAGGAAGAGGAATTTCTGGACACTGAGAACAAAGCAGCAAGAAGTCATTGTGCCCCTTGCCACAAATCTATTTCAATAGGAGGTGAGCATTAGTTGTGGGTCTGACCCATCTCTCACATGGCACAATCATTCCACACTGAGAAGAGGGCAGAGCACTGTCACGTGAGACTACAGAACATCACAGCTGGCACAGGATCCCCATCAACTCTTCTTTCCCTCTCTGACTGGACCAGTTTAGGGGTCCCACTTCTAAGATTAGGGTGCACCTGGGTGGGGTAGATTTATTTAACGTCTATTAACTGGTGTCTGTAGCAGCTCCAGGGGCACGGTTGCCCTAAAGCCAGCAACACAGGAAAAAATGCCTTTTTTCTTCAGAAAAGACAGAAGTGCTTCTCTGCTGGCTGGAGACAGAGATTATGTTTTGCATCCCAGCCAGGTGCAGAAAGCAGGTGAAAACTACAAGCAGCTTTTCCCTTGGGGATCTAGTTACAGTGTTTTGCACAGTTGCCTTGGGAATGTAAAATGACAGGATTGCCTGTCTTCAGGGGAGATAGCCGGGACATAGGCAAGTACTCAGAGCCCATTCTCCACTTACCTGTTGCAGGAAGAGCCCCAGATGGAACGACATGAGAGAGAAGTAGGAGGGAGCTGCCAGGCTGGAACTTACCTTTTCTGCTGCAGCAAGTTGATTTCATCCAGGCGTCTGGTCCAGGATTTTTCACTCTGAAACCTGCGCAACAGAGAGTTCCAGAGCCCAAGGAGCAGCCCATGATCCCCAGGCAGGAACATCCCCATTGTCCTGTGTTCTCCTCGTCAGCTGAACTCAGACCTGCTGCTCCATCCCCTTCTTCCTGTGATGTTTCTTTGTGAATGGCTCTCTACCCCTTCGTTCCAGGAGGGCAAGATGATCTGAGTGGGAGATAGATGCTCCTTCAGAAAATATCAGTTTGGGAGACAGGTGGATGGTTACAACATTTGGTTGAGGCAGGCGTCTGGCTGTGTCTCAGAAACAGATACTACCTGCTGGGGAATTGCTGAAAGCGAGAACACACCCCTCTCTACTAAGTTACCTTCTGATTTAAAGAGACACAGCTTTGTTTGGAAGCCGCTCACACTCCCACATGTCTATTGAGCAATCTCACTTCTAAACTACACAGAACTTCCATTCGTTTTTTAAATATTTTAAAGCTGATAAGAAGTTTTTTAAAAACAAGCAAAGGATGTAAAGGACGTATTAGTATCTGCAGGACATATTTGCTCCTCTGTGTGTCTCCCTGTACAAGAGGAGAGAATGAGATGAGACAGTGAATGGGAAATTTGGCCTAGGCACACAGGCAAACTGCTTCAAGCAAATCTTCCCCTCCCTCCATCACCACACTCACAAACACATGCTGTAAAATCATTTGATGGGACTAGGATGACCATGGGTCCTTGAAAACAAAGCCATTTACGGTTCTGTCCCACAGTTCCAGTTGGTAGTATATAAATCAGTGTTTTGTCCAATTTGTATACATCAGTGCAGATTGTAAAAGCTGCCTGTCAGTTGACCTGCTCACAATAACTAGAGCTAGGTGATATTTTTAACGAAAATAATTAATTTGCTGAAAAATGCAGTTTGGGTCAACTCAAAACTATTTGTGAATTTTAGATGAATTCACAAAATAGTTTTGGACCAAAAATTTGCGGGAGAAGGATTTAAACACCATTCACAAAACAGCAAGAAAAGAAATAGCAGAAGAAGGTGAAGGCAGGGGTGGCAGATATTCATCCAGCATGTGGGTGAGTCAGGTTTAATTCCCCCCTCTGTCTCTAGAGAATTCCGCATTACAAAAGAGCACTCTGACCACTGGGCCATGGGATATTCTGAGGTATGTTTGTGTGTGGAGGGGGTGGTGGGGTGTCTTTCAATTTCTGTTATTGAAGCTGTTACAGTTTGTATAAATAATTAAATATTTATTGGCACAGGGACTTGAACTTGGGCCTCCCAGGTCTGTGCCCTAACATGGGCTATTCAGTCATTCTTACACTATCTTTTTGTCCCAATGTCATTATCATTATGAATGACTATGAATTGCCATTATGAAAGACAATGGGTAGTTATTGGTCTAGGGAAAGTGTGTGAGAATGATTGCATAGCCCTGTGGTTAGAGCAATCACCTGCCGGAGGAAGTGGGGGAGATTGAACCTGAATCACGCATGCCCTGGATGCGTGCCCTAACCTCTGGACTAAAAGATATGGGCAGAGGTGACTCCTCTGGCCATTTGTGAATCTAGTGCCTGGAAAAATGCCCCAAATAAAATCATTTCAATTTGCCAAAATTTTTCACAGTGTTAGGATTTGGTTCTACCAGAACTGATTTTTTTTTCCAATTTTTTGGACCTGCCAGTGAACTGAAAAATGAGTTATTTGCCAAGCTCTGCTGAAAACAGCCTGGCTCAGCACATTACTCCTAGGGGAATTCTGCACCACTGCACAAAGCAGAATTTGTGCAGAATTCCATGTTTCCCCCACAGAATTGGGGCTGCAGAGCTTCTGGCTGCCACTAGGGGCCACTGGGCTCTGCAGAACACAGGTTTGCAGTGAGCAGAGTGCCTAACCCAGTGGAGATGAAGGCTCTGCAAGCTCTGGCTGCTTGGCTTAATACTCATTCTCTTGGAGACTGGAGAGGTCCTGAGAGACCAAGCTCTGGCAAAGGGTGAAGAAGGGCAGGGCCGCACTGCGACACATCCCCCGGCTGGACAGTAAAGAAGCTAGGGGGAGTAAAGGTTCTGGGGGTGCAGGTGTCTGGGTTCAGGGGTGCCCCGTGGCTGGGTTCTGGGAGGAGGGAATGCAGGTGTCTGGGCTCTGAGGACCCCACGCAGCCCCCTCCAACACCTCCCAACTGGAAGTGGGTTGTCATAGGGGGTTCTTTAACTCTCTACTCCTGGGAGAATCTTTTTGTTGTTGTTGAATGTATTGTTGACATACTTGTTGACAGGTATTTTGAAATAAAGTATCAAAATTATTCAAACTGGAGTGATTATATTGTGCTATTTTGACAAATAAAATATGCAGAATTTTGCAAAATTTTAAAATACTGTGTTCAGAATTTTTGGCACAGAATTCCCCCAGGAGTAGCACATGCACATCCCAAAGACCAGCTCACCTCCAGGCCTGCCAATGCTGCTATCCTCTCCTTTCCCACCAGGAGGCCTGCGAATGAGCCCCCTTTCAATGAGTCCTGGAACCACTCCTCCCCCTGCATGTATAGTAAAATGTGTAGGGTACTGGGGATGGTGAGGAGTGGGGAAGGGAGGAGGGGCTTCAGTTTCACTTCCCATCCATTGCAAGACCCTTCCATGTTCACACCAACAAAACTGTCCCCACAGATTGCCCATTTTTATGACTTGGAAAACCTCACCCCAGATCAGGGTCCCTGGCCTCAAAGCCCAAGAATCATTATATTGCTTCCTCCCTCTTGCCCACCTGTCCCAGACTGCTCTGCCTTGCCAACTGGGCCTGGATTTCAGCCCATGCAGGTGTGGGGAGAGAAAAGGGCACATGTCCAGACCTGGTCTGTGGTATGGGGATTAGGTCAGTGGATGTTTCTATTAAACAGAGAGTGGGGAATCTGCAATGTGCCCTAGCCAGCACCATGACAAAGGGGGAGACAGCCTGATTTTCTGACTGTTATTAGGGAAGCACACAGCACTGAGGCATGAACAGTAATGATCATACCAGGCAGCTCTGCTGCACCCTGCTACCTCTGCAGATTTGGCACCCCTACCTGAACCTGGCCCCAAGGTGCAGCCAGTCTGCTGAACTCTGTGAGCATAAACCCTGTGAACTCAGAATAAAATCTATCTCACTGTAGCTGGCAATTAGGAGCCGACTACTGTTTTCTTTTTACAGAAACAATCAGAGCATGGGTGGCTGGGATCATAAACCACTTTCTCTCCCCGTGCCAGGGCCAATCAGGAAGTTAGAGTTGCACTTGTGCAAACATTTGAGTGGGATTATGATCGGAAAAGTACTTCAGTCTACAGCGGCCCCACCAACTCCTGCTGTGTGTGATGGGGTGAGCGAGTTAAGGTTAAATAGAAATTAACCACCCATGAACCTTTTTGTGGGTTTAAAGCAATATGCTGACAATTGTGATCCTCATTATTTTTCATTTAAAGACAGCTTCTATGCTTCCCAGAAGCACCAGGGAAAAGATACTAGTGAAATACCAGCTGTTCTAATGGCCCTAGCTGAGACTAGTCTCTCCCATGGGAAGTGCTGGAAGCCACACAACATGAGAGGTTTAAAATCTGACCAGACAGAGCCCTGGAACAGGTATAATCTTGCACTGGTGTAACCCATTGGTGAGTGTCACCCTCTGTGCTGATCTATGAGAATATGAGTTGCTATAGTGCTTTTTCCTCTACCTATTAATTATGGATCCATAGATCAAGCTGTAATGGGCTGTGTTTGTTGTTTTTGTAATAGCTCTGGGGGTCTCTGGTTCAGTCCTGAGAGTGGCAGCCAAGTGGCAGTTATTCAGCCCTCCATCAGATGTACTGGGTGAGCTAATTCATTCTCTAATATCCTATTTCTGGCCCTGCCAGCATGTCTGCCACTGAGGCAACTGGCCCCTGCCCCACTCAGAAAATCAAATCATTGCAGATTTAATTTGCCTTTGTAACGGGTTGGATCACAGAAACCCTCTTGGGAGCTGCCACCCGATGTGCCAAGACTACTTCTACCCCTCCTTCCCTGCCAGCTCAGGGCCCCAGCACCCTGTCTTGCTGAACCAGACAGTCCCGTCTGCTCCAACAAAGACCTAGGTTCTGAATTACTTGCCCCAAAGCTGCAGGTTTACCTGAAAGCAGCTGACAGAAGTGTTCCTGTCTTTAAAACCCAGATGCCCAACTCCCAATGGGGTCTAAACCCAAATGAATCCGTTTTACCCTGTATAATGCCTATGCAGGGTAAACTCATAAATTGTTAGCCCTCTATAACACTGATAGAGAGAGATGCACAGTTGTTTGCTCCCCCAGGTATTAATACATACTCTGAGTTAATTAATAAGGAAAAAGTGTTTTTATTAAATACAGAAAGTAGGATTTAAGTGGTTCCAATAGTAACAGACAGAACAAAGTGTCAAGTATCAGGGGGTAGCCGTGTTAGTCTGTATCTACAAAAACAACAAGGAGTCTGGTGGCACCTTAAAGACTAACAGATTTATTTGGGCATAAGCTTTCGTGAGTAAAAACCTCACTTCTTCGGATGCATCCGAAGAAGTGAGGTTTTTACTCACAAAAGCTTA